TACTGCTTTTTATATTTTAACAAAAAAAACTTTGCAAAATTTTAATATAATCTCAGTCCTTTCTAATCCTATAATTACCTTTATTTTGATTCTAAAGTTAAAGCAAATTTAATACAACTAAAATGTTTATTATTTTATGTTTGTTTTATAGTAAAAAACAAGTAATCTATTTAGTGTTAACCAATTTTTTTTCAAATTACATATTCTACATACATTATATAGAATATACAATATTACCTAAAAGTTTATCACAATTACACAAAAACAACAAAATTTGTAAATATACAAATTTAGCAATATTATTATTATACAAATTAATAATATTCAATACATCAATATGTAATTATTACAATATAAATATGTATATATTAGCAGTATAAATGTGTTAGTATTTATTATTATAATCTCTATTAGTAATAACTTCATTATTAAGTTCACAATGATCAAGCATATCCTATTTCTCTAAAAATACTATTTTTAACACTCTATATATTCTTGGTTGTGGTCTTTGTTGCTAAACATTATCTTCCACAAATTTGTGTATATTATATATTTGTATAAATTGATTTTTCATATAATTATGATAAACTTTTAGAGGATACTTTATATACAGATATATTAATATTTGAAATAAAAAACACATTTAAGATATTTTGAAGTACTTTTCTAAATTTATTTGCAAAAATTAGTAAATTTCTCTATATAAAAAATAGAACTATAAATAGATTAGAAGATTTGTATAGACTAATTATATATTTTATGTTTTTTTATACTTAACTTCTGTTATCTGAAATTTACTTAAAGTATAACTTTAATATTGTGCAAGAAAAGCACTAAAATAACTATACAACTATTAAATAAATACTAAGTGAATTAATTTGAGAATCTGACGCAAAGCTTTAATGTGACAAAAGTTTTATTTGATACAATTTTTTATTTTTAGTTTGATACAACTTATAATTTGGTAAGCATTACTTGAATATGTGCCAGGTTTATAGCACAGCACAAATTCTTTAAAGTTCATTTATATTAAAATTAGGATTATATTATAGGTTGGAGAAGAGTAGTTTGTATAGTAAAATTGCCTATCAAAAATCTTTTGTTAGTGCACCAAAAGTAGTTTCTTATATATAATTTCAAGAAGTAAGTGAAATGAACATTTTTTTTGAATTTTCTTGATCATGTTATATTGCACCTAATCTTGATATCTGATTCATAATTCAGTAAACCTGCATCACAAACCTGGTATACATTCAAGAGATGCATTTGGTAAATATGCTGATTTCACCTCTTGAATGTATGCCAGGTTTGTAATACAAAGTTACTGAACTACAAATCAGATTTCAAGAACAAACCAAATATTCATTTTGTTAAAAACTGCTTATTTTACATAATAAATCACTTTTAGTGCTTTAATAAAAAGTTTTTGTTAGACAATTTTATTATATAATCTACCTTCTTCTAACACATAACCCTAACTCTAACTCTAAAATAAATGATCTTTGAAGAATTATTGCTATATCACAAACCTGGCTCATATTTAAAAAGTGCATAGTTTTTTGTATGATATATTTTTTATGATATCTGAGTAAATCAAATATGCGCTTAAGAATTTTTATATAATTAACATAGCAAAATCAAGCACAATAAATTAGAGATATATTTTATATCAATTATTAAAAACTAATACTAATATATTGTTAATAAACCTGTTGTTTAACAACGGGTCCAGTATCTAGTTTTTTAAAAAAATTATATAAAATCCAAAATAATAATTAAAACTATTTTAACAATTAATAGACAATACATCTGTTATCTAGAGAGAATCTGCAAATTTTTATAAATAAATTTTACTATTGAACCAAATGTGAAGCACTCTAATCTAAAACTTTTTTTTACTAATTAAAACACTCTTAGGCTTCTAACAAAGTTGTAGAGTTCATTAAAATGCATCTAATAGTGATAAAAATATTAAAATTGACCTTATAATTCTTAAGAAATTGTTAAAAAATTTTTACCAACATATAAAATTTCTTTAAAAAAAATTAATTTTTTTTAAAGAAACTTTATATGTTAATAAAATATTTTTTAAAAAATTTTTTAAGAACTACAAAGCTAATTTTAATATTTTTATAACCATTAGTTGCATCTTGATGAGCTTTATAACTTTTGTTAGAATCTTAAGAGTAATTTACTTAGTAAAAAAAAAGTTTTAGATTGGAGTGCTCTACATTTAACTCAATAGTAAAATTTGCTTATAAAAATTTGCAGATTCTCTTCAGATAACAGATATATTGTCTATTAATCTATATTATAAAGTATTTAAGAAATAAAAAATATATATATATATTTTTTGGTATTAAGGTGACCTCTTGATCATGTTATACTTTATTGAGTTAGGATATCATTATACATATTTAGAAAGTATATTTAGCCATACCTGCACCTTTTGAGTACTTATTTAGTAGTTTGTCTATTTTTAGATTCTACACTATTTGCTGTACCTGCAACCCAGCTAGGGGGTTATCTATTTAAACCTTCTGCACCTATATACTCTGAGGCCCATATTAATTAGCACCTTTTCTCTAGTTTCTACAAACTAGTTCTTCTTGATACACTTTTTTACATATACTAACCTAGAACTACTTTATACTCAAGTTAAATCTGGCAGAGCCCACAGTATTCCTACTTTATACTGCATCTAGCCTGCACTTCAGTTTGGTATGCATAGACCGTGGCCCACCACTTGTAGCTTAGTTACCCTATTCTGGGAGTGTGGGTAGTGCCAGGTCGAGGTTATTGCCTATGGTTGATTCCCTAGCTTATACTTTCTCCTGCTTCTTTTCTACGATTTAACCCCAGTTTTTGGCTGAACTCTGCTACCCAAACCTACTTCTGCCCTTGTAGAGTTTACTCAAACCCCAGCATATACTTTACAGATTATTACCAGTATCACCAACTATCCTAAACTACTAATTCAGATGGCCCAGAAGGACTGTGACCTGCTTCTGGTCCCCACAGTTGGATCCTTTTTCTCTGGTACTCCTCTGACAGCCTTGTTGGTAGAGTGCCTTGCCTAACACTTCGGTCCCGTTCAGTTTGGCCAATTCTTATAGTGATAATCCTTTACATAGTACTGTTAAAGATCTGTGCTACTTCTCTACTCAGGTCTTGCCAAGCAGATGTCTATCTTTCCAGTTTCTTGGTTTTACAACAATCTGAAATTTTTTATGTAACTTATATGTCATACAAGTACCCTATGATCTCCCAATCTTGTTGGTATTACCAAGGTTACAGAAATTCTATTCCAACTGATTATCAAAAGACAGTAGCTGTCATACAGATAGAATATTTGAAATTCGTCATCAGTGGGTTTCGAACCCTCTAGCTATTTAACATACCACTTGGGAGTATGACAACTTAACAACTTCACTAAGTCACCACACTCTAGAAATAAAATATATTATTTAAAAAGATAGTTTATTTTAAATTTTTAGAAATTTATTTTTAAAAAGTGTTACAATATAGTATAAAATAGGGTTTTTTAAATATTTGATTTGATATTTGATACAATTTGATATGATTTGAATTACACTATATAAAATATAAATAATTAATTAAATACTCTAAAATGACAATAGTATTTATAAATACTATTATTATTTTAGAGTATTTAATTAAATAATTTATATTTTATATAGTATAACTCAAATTATACCAAATTACATCAAATATCAAATCAAATATTTGAAAAACTCTAGTATAAAATATACTGATAGTATAGTAAAATCCTAAACATTAATATAAAAAATTAATTTTTAAAATTAAAAAAGTTAAAGTTTGTTAGGCTTTTAAATAAAGTTGTAAACAATTTTTTTTGGTTTTAATAATGATTAAACCATTAAAATTAATCTGATAAATTCTAAGAAATTTGAAATTAAAGATATGAGTATAAGAATCTAAAAGTATTATAGTCTATAATACTTTGTATAATTATCAATTTGCAAATTCTTATATTCATGTCATTACTTTTAAATTTCTTAAAATTTACTAGATAATCTAATTACTACTAGAACCAAAAAAATCTTCTCTATAATTTTATTTAGAAGTTTTATAGAAAATTTAATTTACAAATTTATAAAATATACCAATCAAAACAATTTTACAAACAAAAATTAAACTCTCACTTATAGTTAGGATAAGGGTAGTTTGGGATTGGGCTAAGAATAGTATATATCAAAATTTTACAAGGAATTTTTTTTGTTAGAAGCCAAAAGGTGGGTTCATAATCAAAATTTTAAGATATTTATATTGCCCATGTATATACATTCTGTGTATATTAATTTATTATATTATACAGTATAATATATTCTATATTAAATACTAAAAATAGCAATTTTTGTATAACCATGGTGGAAATAGCAACCCTATATTTATGGTAAAAATACAACAAATTTTAAAGATAATGCATATCTAATAACTTATATTATATTCTAGAAGATATCCAAGTAAATGCAAGAAATATTGCAAAATTTAGTTCATTTAACTTTTTTTATTTGACATACGATATCGGAATAAGCATTAAACTTTCACAATTTATATTTATAGTATGTTTAATTTTTTAAAACCAATACTTTAAACTGTTAACTTTTTTCGATTAACTAAATGTAACAGCGAAAATCAATTTGGTCGTAGATTACTACTTGCTCATCACGAGAAAGTTGCAACCGCTGTTATATTAGATTTTAAAGAGGATTGGAATAAAACAGAATCAATTATGCACCTATGTGAGATTTCATTATTTAATTATATGCGAAGACTTATTAATTTTATGTAGATTCTTCTGTTATGATTCCAAAATAACTATATAGTCATTTAGATGAATTCCTTTTTTTTGAAAAATAAATTTCTTTAATCATTCCATCAAGGAAATCTATTGTTAAGAAAAAGTAAAATAAGAATAAAGATAAATCTATTATTTTAGAAAAAATATATAATTTTCATATACCCTCAATAGCACTGATTCCATCTATTTCGACATTTGCCCCTAAACGAAGGATAAAAATTGGGAACCAGACAACAAATATATAAAAATTCGGATGTAAAGTTTTTTTTAATACGTTAATATAAGATAAACTAATGAAAAGCAACAAAGTGTTTATACTATATATATATAGTGAAATTAAAAATATGCACTGACCAATTAATGAATCATTGATTGCTCCTGGAAAATTTGTCAAAGTAACTTTTTTACTTTGATAATGTGCTTCAGGGTGATTTTTAATGGAACATGGTTCTGTTATCTCTTGTAACATATCTTGCCTAATTTTATCTGCAGCTTTGAATTCAAAATAATACTCTGTCGGACTTTCTTGTGATAGGTCTGAATACCATGATTTGAGAATGAGAAATAATTCATTAGCGGTTGGTCTATTATTTGGATTCCCATCCCAACATTTTTTAATCAACGCAGCAAGTGATTCTGGTGTTCCTTTTCCAATTAGTGGCCGTTCTCCAAAACATATTTCCATGGCGAGATTGTCATCGTGAGGACGTTCATTGAATGGCGGCCGATGTGCACATACTTCCCACATTATTAAACCAAAACTATAAATATCTGCTTCTTTTGTATATTTGCCAGTCCTCAAAAGTTCGGGCGCCATAAATGGCATAACTCCATATATTTCTTTTTCCACGGATTGAATCAATTTGTCTACAGGGCGACAAAAACCGACATCACCAATCAAGGGAATGTCTTTATGAATAAGAATATTACCACTGTGCAGATTTCGATGTAGTAAACTTTCTTCATGTAAGATTGTTAATCCTTCTGCAATATATTGCAACATAAATAATTTTCTTTCCCAATTTAATGTATAATAATTCATTTCCAAATAATTTCGAAGATTTCCACCTTCTGCATATTGCATTACAATTGCATATTCTTGCGTAGCAGGATTTTTTGAAATTCCAAGATATCTTATCAGATGAAATACCAAGCTATTAGGAATAGCAGGTTCGTATCGAATTTGTGGAATCATCTTATTTAAAAAAATTACATGAATATCAGAAAAGTGCATTAAAGATGCAATATGTCATCTATCCAAAGAGATAAGTACGCACCTCGGTAAAAAAA